TTTCAACTCCATTTATACAGACGGGAGCCAAGCAGAACCTGCCGAGCACATGTGGGCAGGATGGACCTGCTTTGGGCCAGTGCCTCCTGCAGAGTCAGGTTTAACTAAGCCTGCACCTCAATAGCTGGATCTGGTTCTCCCTTTCACCCTCGGCCCGGCACTGACCCAGTAGTTCCTCCTGGTTGAGGCATGTGCCTTATGGATTTTTACTACTTTTGGTGCAAAATAACTGCGGTGAACAATGTGCATTTTATTTATTTGCTCCAAATCTGGAGGGAAAGACAAACTTTACATGATAAAAAGCTGGGTCTCTGCTATTTAACAAAATAGACGTACAGTATTTTATTACGTGTGACCTTCAAGTACCACCGTAACTTTCAGTTACCTGTTCTTCAGTGTTTAGTCCTGTTTCCCTCCTAGACTCTTTCTGCAGCTAAATCATGGTCCTTGTTTTGCTGGAGTTTTTCCTCTCCAGGCACTGAACGCTCAGAATGTTAGACTGCTGCAGTCAATCCATTTGCATGATCTTAGAGACTCTGAAGTGTTTTGAGATGACATGTAAAGGGATAAAGGGAAAGCTCACACATCCTAGATGTGAGTGTATGACATAATCTCACTGAATGCTTCGCTTTGTATAAAGCTGAGTGTTGTCACAACAAAATCATCGATGGAAAGCAAATTTATAAACCAAAGGCGGTCTGGATGAATTCAAGTGGAAAAACAGGCGGCTCCAACTTTGATGGAATGTCCTTAAAAAAGCTCAGAATGAGGCCCAGTATTGTGTGTGACCTCCATACAACCTGATGAGGTGGAGGACGGTCTCCTGAGGGATCTCCTCCCAGACCTGGACTAAAGAATCTGCCACTCATGGACAGGCTGTGGTGCAACGTGACGTCCGTGGATGGAGGGAGACATGATGTCCCAGATGTGATCAGTGGGATTTATCTCTGGAGAACAGAGATGGGAAGTAACGAAGTACAAATACTTCGTTACTGTACTCAAGTAGATTTTTCTGATATTTTTACTTTACTTTACTACTTATTTTT